AGGGCATCTTATTCACAGAAAAATACAGTAATAACTGCCCATCCAATCCTGATGGCCAGAGTGCCTTCTAATGGTCCCTGTCTACCAGGTTGTACAGTATGGTAGAGGAGATGGGATATCAGGCACTCTTAGTGGCAGTTTCCCTCCTGTGAAACAGCTTGTCCACTAACGTGAGGATGGCCCTCACAATCAAGGACTTCTGGAAGGAGGTAAATACTTTCTGGAAGGCCTTTGGGACTGATTGCAGAGCCACAGGCATCTATCTGTGTATGTGTGTACAGACACACAAAAATTTATCTGTATCTGTTCCCTATTTTTGTTAGAATTTTGTTACTGAAGTTTTAAAATGTAATTTTATTTCACTGCTATTTTAATATTTGTAAACCTCCTAGAGTTCCTGAGGATTTTTTTTTTTAAGATGGCAACTGGATGGATTGTGTGCTGAGGAGGGGTTGGTGTGGATGCTGTCTTTTCATTTCTGTATGTTTTTTGTTTGTTTGTTTGGCTGGCTCCTGTGACCAGTGAGCTAGCAGGGGGAACGCTCTGTCATTGAGGGGGGAGCTGGAGGAACCCAGTATAGTACTTACTAGCTCTCCAGCCTGTTCTGAATCCCTGTTCTGAAGCTGGCGCTGGTGGGGAGATCAGGGCTGTGCCTTGGGCCTGGCCACTGGGGCCAAGAGGAGTCACAGTGAGGCCCATAGGCCCAGCAAGGGCCTTGGTGCTGCCATCATGACAGAAGATTGCTGGTGTGGTGGACTTCGTGGCCTGTGCAGCCTTGGTGGCCCTTAGCCTTTTGTGCCCCCCACCCCCAGATGCTGGCTTTGTGGATCTGGCTGCTCTGGGCCTTTCAGCCTGTGTCATCATTAGGGTCCCTGCCCTGTTCATGGGGGTGGGGAACTGTGTGGAACTTTCTGTATGTTTGTTTTGTTCTTTCCCCCTTTTTCCTGCTGGGGATTGAATCCCCCAGACTGCTGAGTACCTTAAGACAGGTGTGGTTAGGGATGACTGAGTCCCTGGTGAACTGGGGTGGGTTATAGGGGAGTTGTCTGGTGATGGTGGTGGGGAAATTGGATATGTGTGCCTGGGCCTGGGAAGGAAGCACAGCAGAGGGGATGGGAAGGGGCAAGCTGAGGGGGCAGGCAGGGCTATCTCAATGGTAATGGGCAGGGCAGGAATCTGAGGGTGGGATGCACTCAGGGACACTGGTCCTGTTTGAAAGTGGTCCTGCTGTCTAGGCCTCAGCTTCTAGCCTCGGTCCTTGGCAGCCACATCCTTGGTGGCCCTGGAATTCGGCTGTTGCTTCTGAATGCCAGGTCAGTGTGTAACAAAGCTGCCCTCATCCATGATTTTATCTTGGAGGAGAGTACTGACTTTACAGAAACTTGGTTGGGCCCAGAGGGGAGGGTTTCACCTCTCAGAAATGTGCCCACTTGGGTTTCGGGTTCTGCACCAGCCAAGAACCCAGGGGAGGGAAGGAGGGATGGCTCTCGTCATCTGTGAGTTGTTACAGGCTTTCAAGATCTCTTCACTGCAAACAATCAGACGTGAGGCGCTCTGGCTGAAGCTGGGCTTAAGGGTACAGTTAGCAGTGATCCCTCTCTGCTGCCCAGCAGCATCCCTGGTTGAGTTCCTGGATTCTGTTGGTGGATTGGCAACAGAGTCCCCAAGACTGTATGTGCTTGGGGATTTCAACTTGCCACCCAGTGACTTTGAGTCTGGGGCGGCTAAGGAGTTTGTGGCCTCCATGGCAACCATGGATCTGTCTCAAACCATTGATGGCCTGATGCATATTGGAGGTCACACACTAGTTCTGGCTTTTATCTTGGGGTGGTTGAGATGTGATCTGGCAGTGGAAGATGTTAACATCAGTCTGTTGCTGTGAACAGATTACTCCCTGGTTGCCTTTTGACTCACTGGTGTCACCCCTTCCTGCAGAGAGACAGGACCATTCTATTGGCCTGCCCCAGGTGATTGTTGAACCCAGTGAAGTTCCAGAGAGAGCTTGGGGTTTTCCCTGAGGATCTGGTGAGTAGTTCAGCCAAGGCTCTAGTCGCTGCCTGGACTGGGTGGGTGGCTGGGGCCTTGAATTGTATCGCTCCTATGCGACCTCTCCCTGTGTGCTAATTCTGGGGTGCACATTGGTCTACCTAGGGGTTCCAGGAGATGAAGCACCAGAAGAGATGCCTAGAGCGCAGTTGGAGGAAGACTTGAAGTGAGTCTGACTAGATAGAGGTAAAAGCCCATATTAGGGATTTTTGTGGCAAAAAGGGTGGCAAAATGTAAGTATTTCTCCACCCTTATTGTGTCCACTGATAGCCATCTAGTGGCTCTGTTTGGGTTAACTCAGTCTTTATTGGGTAGGGAGGGCCCCAAGAAACATCTATTGGGCCACTGTGAGGATTATTCAGGCTATCTGATGGATAAAGGTGCTCAGATTCACTCTGATTTGGATTCTGATTGGGCAGAGCAGGCTGAAGTGCTTGGGGCATGGTCTGGGGGTGTCATCTGGGAAGAATTTGAGCTGGTGACTCCCAAGGAAGTGGACAGGGCTCTCTGTGCTGTCAGCTCAGCCACTTGCTTACTGGATCTGGGCCCTTTCTGGATTGTAAAAGTGGCCAGGGAGGTGACCCGTGGTTGGGTTCCGGCCACGGTGTCAGCCTTTCTGAAGATCCAGCATTTTTTGACAACTACAGACCAGTTTCCAACCTTCACTTTTGGGGGAAGGTTGTTGGTCTGCAGCTGATGAGAACCAGGGAGGAAACAAATTATCTAGACCTGTTTCAGTTGGGTTTCAGGCTGGGATTTAGTACTGAGACAGCATTGGTCGTGCTTGTTGATGATCTGTGGTGGAGCTGGGATGGTGGTGGTGTATCCTTGTATTCCTTGATCTCTCAGCAGCTTTCAATACCATCAATCACAGCATCATTCTGAGCTGGCTCTGTGGGTTGGAGACTGGGACACCATTTTACGGTGGTTCTCTTCCTTTCTATGGGGTCAGTTCCAATCATTGTTGGCTGCGGAGGGAGAAATCACTCCTTAGGTTCCTCCTGTAAGGGATGCTGCAGGGTTCTATTCTCTCTCCCCTCCTTTTAAATATCTACATGAAACTGCTGTTATATCTTTTGGCCCTGAGTCAGTCAGGTGAAGCTATCAAGGTTCTGTCTGTACCTGGATGCTTTGCGGGTTTGGATGGGGAGAAACCTGATCTGACTCAATTCTACCAAGACCAAGTGGCTGTGGGCTACCCAGATCTGGAGATATTCCATCTTTGAACTTGGATGGGATAGCACCAAGGCCTTTGGCAAAGAAGAGTGAAACCCCTCACTTCATCGCGCTTGCCATCTTTTATCTTTATTTTTTATGTTTTTTTGATTTGACTGTAATTTCTTTGATTGCTGTGAGCTGCCCAGAGTCATTGCGAGTCAGGTGGCATACAAGTTTTATAAATAAATAAATAAATAAATAAATAAAAATAATATTGCGTAAATAAATAAGAGGCAGTTCTAATTTTCCTGTATGTAGCAATGGCAACATTGTATTCTGAATTTGCATTTGGTGTATATGCTAGATGATCTTGGCAATAAATAAATAAATAGACAAATAGAACAGAAAAAATGAAATTATTCTGCCAATGGGCAGAAATGTTGTCTTTCTGAACCTGATATATCATAAATTGATTTCTTTTACTTAAAAATATTTTCTGATACATCAAGGTGAAATTTATAGAAATGCACGACTATGAAAAAGACATTTTTTTGGCTCACCTTGAATTTTGCATCCTTTGTACATAGGAATTAGTCTATCCATATCTTCTGGAGGTTCAAAGATTGGTTCTAGAGTTGGATCAAAAAGATTCAGCATGGTTGCTGCAAGCTGAAAACCAATCTCCTTTGAGCTGAAATTGCTGTGTGTCCATTCATTAGCATAGTATATATTGGAAAATTTGGTTAAAGGACCTCCAGCTCTGATGGCCACATCATTAGTATGGAAGTTGGTATCAATCACAAGCCTCCCATCATAGACAAGACAGGCGTCATTAACTGCTCTGAAAGTCTCATAATCCACTCTTCTTTTGGTAAAGTTAAAGAATGCCTAAAATAAATTGTTGGTCATTAGTCATCCTCTAAAGCAACTGCCATAAAACAAGTCTGCTTAGTCCAATTGTAAACTTTGCTTAATTTGCAACCCAGTATGCAAATTTAGTGGAAACTAAACACGAACAGGATGACATTAAGTATTATTAAAGAAGTACAAAAGAAAAAACTTTCTGGTCAATCATAGCTAAGTTCCAGTAAGTGGTAAATAATTAAACTTAGTTTTTAGAATATTTAGTGCTCAAAGCAGATGAATATCCTCACTGTCAGTATACTGCAGGCACTTTCCAATAGGTGGAGTACAGGCAACAGTATATTGGCTTGCTTGGGATAAAGCTGGGCTCTGAATGCACTTGCAGCATACTGATCAAAATATACTAAACTGACCATTAGTGAACTTACCATTAGCAAAGTATATTGGATGTAGCATTGATATAATGAAGGCTGTGACTACTTCCATCTCTTACTGAAAAGTGTTATATGAAACCCTCAAATGGCCAGACCCATGATGGGTGATAAAGGTCAAGATCATTTCATGACAACCATGACAATGGAAAATTGTGACTTAGAATGTAAGAAGAGTAAATCATTAACTGCATGAATTAATAAATGAAAAAAAAGAAAAATATGATGTAAAATACGATGCATTAAGGTGATATAACCTTGTGGAGCGGAGTTGATGAATACACACATGGAAGTGAAGGTGTAGGTTTAATTACAAATGAGAAGGCTAAAATGTATGTCAGGAAGTATGACTTGGTGTCAGCTAGGTTGTTGGTCCAAATGAAAATAGGAATACATGTTGTTGTTGTTTAGTCGTTAAGTCGTGTAGTCCTTGCTTAATGACCACAATTGGACCAGCAACTCCATTGTTAAGCGATGTGGTCATCAAGCAAGGCATCATGTGACCACGACTTGCAGTTTTATTGCCAGCTTCTACATTGACTCTGCTTGTCGGAAGCTGGTTGTGAAGTGTGCAAATGGCGATCATGTGACTGTGGGATGCCGAGATGGCTGTAAACGCCTGCCAGTTGTGAAGTGCCTGAATGTCAGTCATGTCACTGCAGGGACGCTGAGACAGTCGTAAGTGTGAGGACTGATTATAACTTCAAATAGTCACTAAACAGGGCAGTCCTTAAGCAAGGACTACTTGTAGTTTGATCATAGATGCATGTTACATAGTACATAATTTTCCTGCTACCTCATTCTTGGTTAGGGGGGAAAGTATGTAACATTCTAAATAAATATGATGTATAGAGAAAAAAAATCTGTTATATGATAGGTGAGAATGAGACAAGACAGTATTGAAAAAATTGATTTGTCCATTTGCAACCCTAAGAATGAATGAGAATGGTGACTGATGAGTATCTGCTTAGAAAAAAGCAGATACAAAAATCTGCTTTGTATCATGTGGTTTAAACATAAGTCTATTCATATGTATACATGGAAAAAGAATCAATATAAATCTAAGATCCCAACTGATTTTATTTTTTATTATGAAAGACTGAGAGAATTAGTGAAGGATACAAGGGTAATGAGAGGTTCTGAATGTGAGACAAGCCATTTTTGGTAGTGTCAAAAGTGGAACTTAGGAAAAAAGGACATTGAAGAAAGAAGAGTGAAAGTAGAGGTATTGCAGGAAGAGAAAGTATGAATCTCGTTTGACGTAGTGATCGTAGATTAATCTCCCAACTGGACAAATGGAAAAAAGATGTAAGAAAAGATGATGTGACACTCCAGTCCTATTTGGTGAAAATGGAGTCTAGAGTTCTGGCTATAATTATCCTCTGGATAAGATTAATTTGTTTCCCAATGAGCTTAGCTTTTTTATCACTGGAAGATATATCCTGATCCTCACTATCAGCAAAAGTAGCATTATTAAGACTCTCTCCTTTCTACCTGCTTTTCCTGGGTTATGAGCAAGACAAATTATTTTAAAACAACGAAGATAATATATTTTTAAAAATCTCTATTTTATCAGTAGTCAAAGTTATTTAATAGTCCCTGAAGCTTATCTCAGGCAGCTAGGAGTTCTGAAATACAGAAAATTCTCTTCTGAAGTGCTTATGTCTCTATGAGTCTGGGCACATTGAAGTTATAGAACATGTTCTTCTTTATTTCTTCTTTTATCTTATATTTCCAGCTGTCTGGCCATACTGATCAATTTCATGTGTTTTTACTTCTGATTTAATCCTCCTGTAACATACAATGTTGCTAAGTTTTGCATAGCAGCTTGTAAAGTCAGCCAGAAATTGGCCACTAGGATGAATTAAACAGATCTGATAAACCAACACTTACATAACTGCATTGTTATACTGCTGCTTATTAGGTTTATTTTTCTAGACATCTTGTTTAACAATTGTACAACTGTAGCCCATTAGTATAGAATATTTTGCTTTTTTTCATTTTTATTCTCTTTTTAGCTATCATATTTTATCACTTTTATTATAGAATGTAATTATAAACTGATTTACTACACCATCATATATTATTTTACAATTAATAGTAATGATAACTTACTTTTTTTTTCCTCTATAGAATTATTAATTTGAAACTATCTCATCTTGTTATGGAGCTGATCTTTGCCATCCTGGAGTCTACCTGCAGCATTACATTTTCTTTTGGGATCTTCTGTTTTAATTCATTTGTAAGCAGCTAACCATGAATTGAGGGTTCTATAATTTATCTCTTTCAACACTGAATGCTTGCATTTTTAATATTTAGAGTTTAAAAACTATTTTTACGTTATCTTGTTTTTAAAAATAAAGTCTGATTTTGTTTACCTCCTTTTATTATAGAATGTAATTATAAACTGATTTACTACATCATCATATATCATTTTACAATTAATAGTAATGATAACTTTTTTTTTTCCTCTGTAGAATTATTGGTCTGTCTCTCAAGGAAGGGCTTTACATGATATGGCCAGGTAGTGCTATTACAGATATTTAACTTTTTGTGTTTTGATCTTTTAATCACCAGAAAGGTAATACAGGTTGTGAGAGTCTTGTTTCTGTCATATACTGAGGTTAGGGGAAAGATGCCAGCTGAGGCAAACCCTGGAAGATAGGTAGTAGCAACAGAAACTACCAGACTGCTGTCCCAAATGATCTACAAGGCTTTTGAGACAGGAGTTCCAATCTTCCATACTATGGGCTCAATAATGTGCCTCTGTGCCATTAAGTTGGTGTTGACTCTTAGCGAGCACATATATGGATTTTTTTTTCAGGAGGACCTGTCCCCAACCTGGTTTTTCAGGTCTTCCAATAGTGCACCCACTGCTGCTGGACACCCTCTTCTCTTTCCTTTCACCTTTCCCAGCATTATAGATTTCTCCAGAGAACAAGGGTTTTGCATAATGTGTCCAAAGTATAATAATTTGCGGCTGATCATTGTGTCTCAAGTGGAAAATATGGGTTGATTCATTTGATGATCCATTTATTTGTTTATCTGGCTATCCAGGCATTCTCAGGAGACTTTTTTAACCCCAAAGTTCAAAAGCATCAATACTCTTTCTATCCTGCTTCTTCAAAGTCTAACAGTTACTTCCATAGAACATCACAGAGAAAACCATTACCTGCATGCTTTGACCTTTGTAGATATAGACACATCCTGGCATCTGAATATCTTTTTCAGGCCTTCATGGCTACTCTACCAAGTAATAGCCTGCAGCGTATTTCTTGACTGCTGGTTCCTTTATTGTTGATAGTTGATCCTAAAAGGCAGAAGCTAACTACCTTTTCAGTATCTTCATTGTAATTCTAAGGCTGGTACTTGTCATTAGTTTCTTTATATTTAATCATAATTCTCTTTTTTTCATTTTGCGTCTTTACTTTCATTACTACAGCTTTCAAATCATTTGCATTTTCAGGTATCAGAGTCATCAGCATAGTGCAAGTTATTGATGTTTCTTCCTCCAGTTTTAAATCCATGCTCATTTTCTTCCAGTCCAGCTTGCCTCAATATATATTCCACATATAAGTTGAATGAATCAATGAATCAATAAGAGTATAGTATACAGCCTTAAGTATACTATACAGTGTGTATAGTATGTATGAATAGTATTTGTACTATTCATTTGCCAACCTGGAGCCAGTCTCTTTTGCCATGTTCTGTCAGTACTGTGGCTTCCTGATCTGGGTACAGGTTTCACATGAAGACAATGAAATACTTTGGGATTGCCATTTTTCTGGGACAAGCACATTTCACAGCTTGACATGACTGACATGATTGAAGGCCTTTCTATAATCAATGAAACATGTACTGACTTATTTTTGGTATACTTTGGCTTTCTCAATTATCTAGTGTGCATCAGCAATGTCTTATGCTCCTCGGCATTTTCTAAATCTAGACTGAACATTTGGCATCTCCCTTTCCCTGTTGGATGAACCTAAACATTATTTTGCTAGCATGTAAAAAACAATAGACTTTTTTTGAAAGACTGGAACTTTATATGGACTTTCTGCTGAAAGAAGGAAAGACTGAATTGATGATTTACAGATTTGGGGAATAAAAAGGGTTAAAAGGGCAGGGGAAGGGAATTATAAAGTAAGAGAAAAAAGAGGGCAGGGAAAGAGTAAGATGCAACAGAAAGAAGGGTGGAAGTCATAACATTTTCTTTTTTTTTTCCCCCTTCTCTTTTTTCTTATTTTTTCTTTTTCTTATTTTTCCTCTAATTTGTATACTTTTATTGTATTTAAAAATGCTAACAAAACTTTTTTAAAAAGAACATCTGGCATCTCCCTTTCCATATAGGGCTCAAATCTACATTGGATAAGGATTATTTTGCTAGTGTGTGAAGTTAAGGATATGTATGATAGCTGGCACACTCACTTAGGTCTTTCTTTTGTATTGGGATGTGGACCTCTGCCAATCTGTTTGCCACATCTATTTTGCCATTGTCTGGATTTGCTGGCATAGCTTGGTTAGAATCTGTACTCACCCTGATTCTATTGCTTGCCATATATCTGTAGCTATTCCATTAATTCCTACCTTCCAACCTGGTAACCAGAGTGTTGATCTTATTTCATCTTCGAGTACTCTAAGGTTCTCCTAAGTAGTGAATATCTTCTAAGATATCTTGGATGTTTATTTTTTATTGCATTTGTATGCCCCCCAGCTCCCAATGAATCTGACATGTCCTCAGCTGTTCCTCAGCCCATCATCCAGCACTGTATCATCAATCATGCTATAATTTATATCCATGTGGTTTTCTTGGTAAAACACAGGAGTGGTTTAGCATTGCTTTCTCCTGCACAGTATGAAATAATGCCTTTGCCATTGTTAATGAAGCAATCATCTGCTTCCACCATCTTCCTATATTGCTGCTGCCCTATATATGGGCTGCTTGCTTTAGCCAGGCAGCTGGGATGATATTCATGCCTTGGGTGACCCTGCTGGGAATATATACAGTACTCTTGGCATGCATTCTTGGCATTCTTCATTCCCAGGAATAACACCACCACCCTGCCATGATGAAGTAGTACAACAGAACTTTGGGGGAGGGGAAATAATCTGCTACAATTTTTTTAAAAATGGTGTTTGGTATACATAGCCTGCAAAAAAGTGTAGGAAAAAATGCAGGTATGAAAGATAGATTATTTTTGCAGACTTCCCCCAAACCGTAACTTTATTCTGTAAGACATAACTAGCTTATTCTGTAAGATCAAGCAAGCCAATATAGTAATGCCGAAAGCTTAAAACATAACACAATCAAAAACTAGATTAAGATTCATACCCCAGCTTTGAGCTATGTTTCAGGCATAGCCAGATCAAAAAGCAGAGTTCCAGGGTTCAAACCTGCTCCAGTTATTCAGTTAATATACAGTAAAACTCAGCAAAGGCACATACTTACAGAACATTGCAACTTAAATGGTTTTGTATTAGTAGTGAAAGATGCAGATGCGATTGGATCTGGATGATTGCCATCATTCCATTGAGCCAACAGACTATCACGGTGTTCAGTTACACCAGCCCTGGACAGTGCTTTCTTGACAGCCTTTTCTATTGCGTTGTTATTGAGAGAAGTAATGTTGGAGTACAAGGGAGGGTGCACAAGGTGTATACGATAGCCACTAATTCCTAATGATAAGAGGGATTCTATAGTGGTGTAAACATCAATTTTATTACCATAGACAATAATATTCCCTGGAGAGAGCAAAAGAAAAAACAGAATAAAAATGAATAAGACTTATAACTAAAACCTCATTAAAGTAATTCAGATGGTAATAATACTGAAGTTATCTGCGACCTCCTTGTTGCTCTGATGCTATGAAGTAAACAGAATTGCTTAACAGTAGCTAAGATAATTTAGTGAAAAATCTGCAGAATACACCCCAGAAGTAGGAAGCACTTTACCTCAGAGTAGGGCATCTTTATATCTTAGTTTGAGAACCAGTGGGGAAAGGGAAAGAAAAAAAAATTACCATCTTTTATCATATCCCTCTATCCAGCCTATGTTTGTTTATAAGATTTCCGTATAAAAACAATAAAAAGTTTAAAAGCATGATGGGAAATTGGAAAGGAGAGAAGGAAAAGCACTGCCATCAGAATTCTCTTACTCCACAACTAAAAAGCATATTTATACCTTATCTATCTGTTCTCTGTCAGATATAATGAAATCCACACAACAGAGGTACCAGAACATAAGATATTGGTGACCTCCTTCAGCAATCTTCACTAACATAACCCCAGAAATGTTGAGCTGCAATTCCCATCATCTCTACCCAGCCTGGTGGGCACCAAAGCTATTGTATATAAAATCTAAAGAAACTGAAATTCTGTTAAAGACTGTAACATATAATGATCAATCTAGATAAAGTGAAACTTTCTCTCATGACATAGTTATTTGTGCATGTATATATTACTTCCTTCCACAGAGACCTACCTGGTCTTTTTACAATCGGGAGAGGATGACCTGCTGAGCAGACTATGGCTTGCTGACATTCACTCAGCTGGGGTGTGAAGACAGGCAATCTCTGTATCAGTGCTCACATTGTAGAAGAAACTTTGTTTGGAGATTCAGTGAACTCCAACAATACACTGCTATTACCAAAAACTGAAAATGGATTTATTTGCCTAGACCTTCCTGTGATGTTATCAACTGTCCTAGTAGTTGTATATTGGTTTTTAAAAGGCTGTTTTTATGCTTTATTCTATTTTTATATTTATTTTAACTATATCTATTCTAAACAATTTTGATATTTGCAAATGAAAAGTAGTACAAAAATTATGAAAATGAATAATGAATAAATCCAGTCATTGTTGGTTTAAGCCATATGTGGCTTAGTGTAAACCCAGACAAATCCCCACCCCACCAAGAGTTATACAAGAGGTGGTGGGACCAATCAGAGCTGAAGGTTTTGGTTTTTTTTTTAATTCATTAGAATACCTCCACTGCTCTCTTTGTCTTGACCTATCTAGAGTACAGCCTTAAGTATTTCAGGGTGAATTGATCTACAATGAATGAATGCTTAATTCTGCAGCATTTAGTTGAAAAGTATAGTGGTAAGCCTTGTGGAGCCTTTTAGCTGCCTTTGCTGATTTCAGATAGCTTTTGATTCTCTCCTGAAGGGGAAATTATAGAAGAAGCTGGAAGCCTCCACAGTAGGTTGTTGGCTCCTTTCTCTTAGTTGAAGCTTATGTGAAAGCACCTGCTTGAAGATTTGTTGTACTCCATACATTCATTCTCAGTGTTTTTCAGACAAATGGGTGAGCAGGGCTATATATTAGCTCCATTTCATTTAACTCATTTAATTTAATTTAAAAGTTTAATTTAATTTAATTTTAAAAATTATTAATTTAAAAAATTAAAAAAAATAATTTAATTTAACATTAACTCATTGGCCCAATCTGTTTCTGATCCTACCTTCCACTCCCAATGATGTCTAATACCCCTACTATAGGCAGAGAATTTAGACATTTTTTCCTTCTCAGATATAAGACTGAGAAGAGCCCTCCAGGCTTTTGCTTCCTTCCATTCTGAAGAAAAGGTTGTTTTAAATTATTTGAAGGTCAAAGTTATGGGTTCTTCTCCAACCATTTAATGAAATATGCCTGGCAGATCAGTGGACATAAAATAGAGCCAGTTAAAACTTTGAGAGGTCTGGGTGTTGTTTTCCAGGCCTTGTGTTCCTGGAGGCCACCCAGAGATGTGTGTGTATGATCCTTAGGTTCTTTTTGGAAAATGGAGGTTTGTATACCCCTTCTGCAGTTACAGTTTTTCAATATATGGCAATTGCTGCACAGGCCTGCATCTCTAAAGACTTCTCCCTTCTGGAGCAGTCTAATCCAAGCTCTTGAGATCCCCAGTTATGTTCCCAATGACACCCTTTGATTGGAGGCAGGTCTTAGTTCAGCAGAAGCACAATTCTGGGTAAGTAAGATCATCTACTGGCTTAAATTAACATTCTTCCTCAAGGGTTCAGCCTGACTTTTCCTCAACTTGGAAGAAGACTTCAGAGGTAAAATTACAAAGCCTATCTATAATAGCTTTGCATTTTTTGAGTTTTACCAAAGCTAAAGAATTTGTCAAGCAGCAAATAATGGATATCAATTTGCAGGGAGAGAATGCTAGGGGCTTTTCTTGTTTTTAAAAGGGGAACTTAAATATTTTGTCTTATCCTAAGTATCTATATAGACTTGTTACTGCAAAATACTGTAGGGCCTTTACTTTAGCATGTTTTAACATACTGTTTTCAGTCTTACTGGAAAGAAACTACCAACATACCCACTTTACAGAGAAGCTTTGTCTCTGTCATTCAGGGCAGCTGAAATTGTGAGTTATATATTGCCATACTGCCAATTTTATGATTAAAGTTGTCACCTGCATTTAACTCTACTTCTAAATAAGTTTCCTGGTAGATCAGAAAAGTTCTGTATCTTATTTATCTTGCAAACTATGATGACTTCAGCTTTAAAGCTGCCAAATTCTGCTTCAAAGTTTTTATCATTAGGAAACATATAGTGAAACAAGATGATTAATATTCAACCTGACTAGAAATAAAAGATGTAATTTGGCAACTCTAATTTTTGTGTCATTTTATACTACTCTATTTTATAACTATGTTTTAGTTTTATACCTTTTACAAAGTAGTTTTATAATGTGGTTAGACTTAGGTTTAATCTTTTAGTTCTTTAGTACTTGCTTTATTTTATTTTATTTTATTTTATTTTATTTTATTTTATTTTTTTATTGTATTGTATT